TCAATTTTATCCAGTAGTCCTTGAGCTCTAAATAAACTTGGATGTGTGGTGAGAGCTAGGGCCAGGGTGTTTACTTTCTACTGTCTGATTCTATGGCATTATTTATTTAAAAATGTTCAATTATGAATAAGAATTTATCATCACTCTCCCCTTTAAAATATTTCAGTGATTTCTCTCTTATCCACCCTTCCAATTACCTAGTGTTGCACAACAAACTGGCCCAAGTGACTTAAAACAATGTATTATTATTTCCCATGGTTCTGTGAGATGACTAGGTTAATCTGCATGGTTCTCCCGTGGGGTCTCTCATGTAGCTGCAGATAATGGCCAGGCTGGAGTCATATGAAGGATGAAATGGACTGGTCCTCAAGGCTGAGCACGCACACATAGCAGTTGATCTGGTTATTGGCTGGGAACATACCCAGGGTTGTTAACCAGAGTTCCAGGGCAACGCTTACCCTATGGCTTGAACTTCTTACAGCACAAAGGTGTTAGGATAGTAGGACTCCTTTCTTTATTGGACAGGACTCCGAGAGAGGAGTAGAAAGCTGCCAATTCTTTTAGAGGAGATCATTAAATAACACAACGCCTTTCGATGATATTCTGTTGGTCGAGCTTGAGTTTGTGTTCCCAGCACCTAGCCCACCAAATCCTCAATATTGTTCATGAAATAAATATATTCATTCACAATGAATTTAGCAATTATGGCAACTGTTTTTAATTTTATAACACTTTACAGGTTGGGATGGTTTGAATTTATTTTTTTTTTAAGTATGTTGTTTTGAGTAGGTGACTTTTTCCCCTGTGGATCTGAATTTCTTATATAATTTTCCCATTGTTGGATGGAGTGCAGGGATATTATGACTGTGGGTCAAAGTGTCCTGGAAAACACAGTTAAATACTGCTTCCAAATTTCACAGCCTTTGGGAAGACCGTATTCTTACATTGTTTCATCACAGAGATCATTGGTGAATAAACTTTTGAAAAGGTATACTATTATAAAACCAGTCTGACAATGGAGCAATTACGGAGAGTTTTCACTTTATTATTTTGTATTGGCTATTCAAAAGAGCCTATTTTCCATATGGAAGCATGCACTGTAATATTTTCATAAATAGAAGAAGTAAAAAAATGGCACATAGTATTTTTAATTAAATAGCTTTATCCAAAGGGTAATTATTTGTTAAGCTCTGTGAGCTTATTCCCTATGAGGCTTTAGAAGAAAGAA